TGCATAGAAACGAAGCAGTTCTACCCAGAGCTGACCAGCAAGTGCTGAACACCGCTGCCCTGAATCAAACACTAAGGGAACCTGTCAGTTACAGAAGAAAAGCTTAAATAGTATTTAAAGTACAGGTCTTTAGCTGTTACCGTTCCTTGCATTTTATCTGTAATGTAGTATTACAAAATTTTTACTTGCTTCTATACTCCTACAATTAAAAAATTGCAAGAGACAGTATAAACTCAGATTATAAAACTACAGAATGAGAGACTGCAGCAATGGCAAAGAATAGCACCAATGATTAATAACAATTGCTTATCTCAGAGTTTTTACCACATCATCACATCGAATATAACTGGACAGAATGGGTTAAATAGCCTATTTTTTAGCAAAGCCTAAGCTGTCTTGCTAACTGTCATAACATGCGATCATACAGTGATGCTGGTTCTTGCAAATTTGTTACAAGTAATTTCTAAGAATAGTGTAAAGCTAAAAGGAATTATTTTTCTTGTGCTTACCTCATTCTGAGATAAAAATGCTTCAACGCTATAAATTATATTCTTCCCTGACAGATTAAAATCCAGGGTCTTATTAAAGAGTTTGAAATAACATCTAGTTCCCTGCTACGTTCTTAGGAGCAAGAGGTAAGCACAGCAAGCCTTGTATCAAGCAGTAACGCAGTCTCTTAGTTTAGCTCGTCATTTTGCAACATAAACACAAACAAAAATAGAAGATGGTTGTTTAAGAACAGCACTGTCTGCTAGACCACTAGAGAGGTAAATTAAATGGTTCCGACCTTGCCGCTTCTAGGGGAAGTTTCTTGAGGCAAATCAGAATCATCAGTGGGGCTATGCTCCCAAACTACAGCATCGTTCTCTACTTCCTTCAGACGAAAATTAGTTAATTTGTTTAATGAGAATCCTTCAATCTAAAGGAAAAAAGAAAAGAAACATACAGCTAAACATCACATGAACTTTAAATCTCCCCTCTCATGGTAGTAAGCCAAATGAAAACAGAACAAAGTTTAAAAATAGCTGTTCCAGGCCTACAATATGCCCCCAATCTGCTTCACTCCTTATACTTGTCTAGAAGAACCCCTCAAGAGTTCAGCGCTTTGGGAAGGGTATCCATGTCGTAGATCCTTGTATTTGCACATTAAAAAAATAGGTATTTATGCTTGTGTAAATATATGGTCATACATGGTAAGACATTTCTCTCATTCAGTGCAGAGATCAGAGAGTTTTTGGGAATAAGTCAGTCATGCACGGAAGGAAACTTAACCGCAAGGCCCATGTAATCCGTTATGGAAACTGGAATGTGCACAGAATGTAACAGGTGACTGTAAGAACAATAACAGGTGCTGAAAATACAACACCTGAATGGTGTCCTGGAGAACTGGATTCTGGACTTGCATCCATAATATGACTGCTCATATTAAGATGCATTTCAGCTTCTAAACCCAAGAAATACCTGCTCTAAACCCCTAGTTTGATCCCTCGGGCAGATATCACACCAGTGTGCTCCCCAGTTGTGGTCTATAATTTAACAAATCAGAAGTCAAAATCCAAGACATTGTTTTGGGGTGTAGCTATGTGAATTCAGAGTTCTCAAGAGTCTGGAAGAAAGGCTGAAGAAATGAGGAAACAGACTGTTATCAAGTGCATTATTATTCAAAGGTCAGGTCTCCTCACTCAAGAAAGGAGCAACAGAGCACTTGACTGATTGTGAATTGCATTTTCATAGCCAAGTGTACAAAGGTTAGGTGTTAAGTCTAGCTGAATTCACATTCTTTCGGAATTCCTGCAGAAATGGCTGGCTGAGAATAGCAAGAAGCTGACAGGTTAGACACCACCAATAGTGACTGACCCTCTCAGTGATACTGTTCAGCGTATTAATAGACATACCCAGGATCCCAAATAGACAGGCAGAAAAGGCTCTTTCCTCTGTTGTAGAAAGAAAATAACCATTAACACGAACACATAAGGTGACAAGCCTCCCTCTTCAGGACGATCAACACAGCACAACTGTAAAAATAAATTGTACCGTCATTAAGATTTCAAGTGATACTATGAAAATATTCCTATAATTACTGTTCAGAAGCCTGTCACACTACATACTGACAGAAACTCAACACATCTGAGCGTTCAAGAGGTGGACTTTGTCCTCAAGGCTTGCATATTTACTGGAGTCATGTTATTAACATAATATTTTCAGTGTAAAAGCCATAGAATGCAGACTGGCAAAGCAGACATCTTCTAACATGTCTGCAGAAATGACAACGTATTTTATACTCTTTTTACATATATATATAGGTCAAGTCAAAAGTTTTTCAATCTTTTTCTTATTTTAATTACAGGCATACAGAATTTTGGAACAAGTAATTTTAATTCACAAGAAAGTTTTCATCTACGTATCATAACATGCAGCTTTTTTTCTTTTTTTTTCCTGACATGGATTAAGTTTATGGGAAACTGGTAATTCCATTTCAAATACGTTTCCCTGACTTGTTTGGTAATACATCAGGCTACTTACAGTCTGTTTGCCACTGGCTGAAGCTTGGAATTCCACTTTTGAAATTCAGTGGAATATAACAGCACACGAATAACAGATATATCACTTATAAAATTAATAATTTGTAAAAATTTTCAATATCCTTTTCCCAACTCTTTTCTAAAGACAATTTCAACAACTGTTTTCTGAACCATACCTAGTCTTACCAGCATAACATCAATGTTCATTCACTATTTGTTCACAGATGGCAGAAATAAAAATGACCCTTACCTTTGCCCAGTACCTGAAGGCAATCACTAAAGGTACTACAGTAGGTTCCAATTTTCCAATCGCAGTCAAATGCTTTGTTGTCAGACAAGCATTCTCATTCCCTGCACTCACTTTACAAATAAGGCCACTAAAACCCAAAAAGAAACAAAGTTAGTTTTGTAAGAATAGTCATGGGTTGGATGACATCGCACAGTGTAGCAGAAGGCTGTAAAAAAAGATTTAACAGCCTCTCAAAGACACCATATCTACATTAAAACAAACATGGAAAACCAATTCAATTTATGGCTAGGTTGAAAATTTATGTACTGTAATTTTCTGTGAATTTTTTTTCAAATACAATTCAAGTATTTGTTTCTAATAACAGTAAATCATTGAACTAAAAAAGTTACACTATTCATTTCCTTGATAAATCAAAACATCTTCCCATACCACACCCATCAGAAAACAGTTTTTAAGCTGTTTCCACAGCACGAGAAAAACTTTCAAACAGTGAAAGATCAAAGTAGCAGCAAATAACTAATATTTCTGCATCAGTAGCTGTTTATAGAATGTTTCATGAATCTTAAGTGATATCCATTAAATGGGCAAAATAAAGTGTCTTTCACTTGTTCTCTGAATACCAGTGAAGCTGAGCAAGCTGATCTTGCCCTTACAGAAATCTGTAATTTAATATGGTATCTACATTACCTATAAGGAAGGTAAGTTTCTGCTTAAGCAGTTATCCCAGATGGAAGGGTAAGGGTACATGCTGGAAGCCATAATGGTTGAAGGGATTGGGAAATACACAGCTGAGGACAGAACAACCCTTACCCTCTTATTCTAGGCTAGGAATGACTTGCCCATGAGTTAGTTTGTTTTTCAAGATCCATGGAACTGTAACAATCTAGTACAGAAACGTCATTTTTCAGATGTTGGTACACATAATTTACATTGCTATATACTATTAGAACACACAAAGTGACAAGCAAGACCTTTGCTTTTCTCTGCACATCACCACTGGTATTCTAGCATGGAAATCTGCGTCAACCTCCGTAAAAGATTCTAGGGAGAAGAGCAAAAAAGAAGAAGCCGCGTTAAGCATGGTGTCGACAAAAACGGTATGTTGAACTGGATGGAACTACAGGAGCACGGCTAGAACTTTAACTTCTTAATAAAATGACAAATTCTGAGAAAAATAACTCAGTACATATAAGAAACTCATCCTGTCATGTTTTTAAAGCAAGTTTTTCATATATGATGGGAAAAACATAGTTTGTAGTATATGACAAACATTCTTAAGAAAATACTCAAGAAAAAAAGACACTTTTCAAAATACTTTCATATACACAGAAGGTATAATTAAGCAGGTATATTTTTAGCTAAGTGCTGTCTTCTGTAATTCAGGCATACAGATCAACCAGTGACATCTGTAAAATAGTGTCAGTGTGAAGGATAAAAAAACCAGGGCATTATGTCAGTACTAGACAGAAAGAAAATACAAAAGTTTGTCTTCCCCGTGTGCTGGTTTCCCCGTGTGCTGGTTTCAGGCAGGAACGAGCTGCTCTCCTAAACAGGGCTGGCCAGCCCACAGCAGACGAAGAATTTGTTTCATTCCATGGTACATCAGGCTTAGTGGTCAGTCTGGGGATGCACATGTGCAGTTTCAAATGCAGGAAGTTGGGTGGGTGGAGGACCGTTTAGGCTTTTGGCTAGCTTGGTAGCTAGGTCATTAGCTCTTGGCATGGTTGTTAGCCAGGGAGCCAGCTCTTTTGTTAGTGAGTTGGGGAGGGGTTTCCCTGCTCTGGGACCCTAAGGGAATGTTTACTGCTTTGGGACATGGCTGTGTGTCAGTCGGTGTGTAGTGAGCTACTGTATCTTATGTTCTATTTTCTATTAATTACTTAGTAGTAGTAGCATTGTTAGTACTAGTAGTATCACTATAATTTTCATTTATATTCAAGCATTAAATAGTTCTTATCTCAACTTTATGAGCTTCCTCATCTTTTCCTCCAGCTCTCCTCCTCCACTGGAAGGTGGAAGGAAGGTGATTGACCAGCTGAGTGGTACTTAATAGCCGTATAAGGCTAAACCACACCAGTTCTTTCCAGTACCCAACATGGGGCACGAGACAGTGAAGAGCAGACCTCAACAGTGTGTGGTAAGTGTTTGTTACAGCGATGTGGTAGTAGCTGATCCAGACGGTGAGTTTGTAGCTCTTGAAGTTGCTAAAAGAATGGTGGAATCTACTGCTTTACATGTTCCTTATTACCCTGATCTTATATGTTCAAGCTGGGTTGAGGGGTTTGGTTGGACTGTTCAGTGTATTACTGGTGTTGGGAGGAATCCTGTATTGGTATCTAATATTGTCAGCACTGTGGTATTTTGCGAGCTGTCTCCTGGAGTCTTTCAATAATTACCCCTTTCCCTTTTTCTCCTTGGGAACTCAGCCTATAGAGAGATTATTCGGTGCTGGCCTGGATGTGGAGAAATTATTCCAGTTTTTTCTCTTTTCTCGCAGGCCAATGGCAAAGATGTATTAGTATTATGGACATTTTTCATGGGCTTTGGGTGACCTATGGTTAGCGATCAGCTTGCTTCTGAATGTTCTCGTGATCTTGTGTAAGGTTACGGAACTGTTTGGGAAAGCTGCCCCATCCGCTGCTGGTGCTCGGGGCAGGCTCTGTGAAGCCACCCGAAACGCCCTAACATGAAGCAGGGCAGGGAATGAACTTGTGTGGCGGGCCAGGGCGGCAGCCCAAGACCATGCTGCTGAAACCAAGGGTAGATCACTACCCACTGTAGCCACATCACCACCCACTGTGGTCACCTTCCACCACAGCAAGCCTGCTTTCCACTGCGGCGCCACCTCCCCACAGTGGCTCCACTTCCATGAACCCCCACGTGCCAGTGCCAACCAGCACCCGTACCAGCTGCCCCAGTACAGAAAAAGAAATGGGCATGTATATCAGTACATCTGGTAGAGGATGAGGAGGTAGCAGGGCCATCTCGAGAGACATAAACAAAGGAGAAGGGGAGCAGGGGCATCCCAAGAGACAGAGGATGAAGCAGTAGTAACCACTCGATCTTTATTCCTGAAGGAACCATGGGATATCCAGAGAGACTTCAGCAATTGCCTGGGTGAACATATTATGACCTGGCTGCTCCGCTGCTGCCAGTAGCGTGGAGTTAGAGGGCAGAGAAGCCAAGCAGTTGAGGTCATTTGCTGGAGAAGGGGGCATTGACAAAGCAGTATGAAGAACACAGAAGGTAAGCCTCTGGAGACAACTCCTGACCAGTGTGAAGGAAAGACATCCCTTTAAGGAAAGTGTGCCACATCAGCCACGCAAATGGACCACCACGGAGAAAGGTACCAAGTAACTGAGGGAACTAGCTGTGCTAGAGACAGTTTATTGTGACCCAAACAATGCACGGGCACCCACAGACCCAGATGACATTCAGTGCACACAACCCACGCAGTGGAAGTTAGTGCAGAGAGCACCATCGTTGTTAGCCAGCGTGCTCCCAGTAACCACCTGGAAACAGGATGAGGCACCAGCACTGGATGAGATGGTTCACTAGAGGATCTGTCCATCGTGCTGGTGCTGCCAAATCAAAACTTCTATGTACTGTAGAAGACATACCCTGTTCTGAGTTCTGTGCTGTAGGAATCACTGCAGCAGAAATCATCTGAACCTACAGAGCTTGCTAGAAGTGTGTCAGTGACCAGAGCTGGCTTTGGTGCCTGATGATCCCACACAACACTCCACCTTTCCTGTCCTGAGTGAGCCCTACACCTGATGGAACCTGAAGTCATGGACTAATGGACATTTTTCCAAGATGGTCCACAGACTAAGGGCATGATATGTGTGAGGAATAGGATGGGAAAGGGGGAGTGGGTGTCGTGGTTTAACTCCAG